CAGTGTTTGCTGAGTGTGTAGGATCGCAAATACTTTCTTTTTTAGCACTCACCCCTGCTGGAAATTTGGCTTTTTCTTGAGGACATGGCTTATTTTTTTTAAGTGCTGTTGAAATACAGCCGGGACATAGCTGAAAGGTTGGGGAGGGCGCCCCCTGGATGTGAAAAGAAAAACTGTAGTTGCCAATCAGTTGCCACGGAAATGGGATGTTGGCTCCTGGCCCCAGAAGAGGGAGGGTCTGAGAGGCGCACTCTTCGCCGGGGATGGCAGGCGGCCTCCGCTCGCCCGCCCTCTGTCACTTGGTATCTGCACATTTCCTCCGAGCGGAAGGATTAAAATTCGTGGACATGTTGCCCCACGGCAGACAGACGGCTCAGGGCTTTGCCAAAAGCAAACAAACCGAAAAGAGACACATTCTCCAGGGTTTGCAAAAGTCCCCAGAATGGGTCACAAGAAAAAAAAGGGGCAGAAAACCTGGTCGGCAGAAAAGGAGGCCTGATTAGCATGACTTGGCAGAGGGTGTGTGGAAGGATCCGGCCGGGAGCAGTGTGTGGGTTCCACCACTTTGCAGCGGGGTGGCTGGGCCGGGGGCGGTCATGCAATTGTCTCTGGCTCTGCCCTGTCCCCCCCACGCACCATAACTGCATGGCTACAACCCTCACCCTCCGTCTCTGCACCTCTCTCTCCTCGTGACTCCCGGGTGGCGAGAGTTAGACCCAGCTGGGGGCAGATGGGGCTGAGGATCCCAGGCCTCGCGGGCGGGGGCATCAGAGGGGGGTACCGGCTGGTCACCTTCCTCCCCTGAGTCTTTCCCAGGCCCCTGCCGCCCCCACCTCTTGCCCAGTACCAAGCTCTGGCTTGACTTAGTTTCCCAGCAGCCCCTTCTTCAAACAGGGTGGCCCTCTGGCCCCCCTTGGAATTTAAACAAAGAAGCAGCTTCAGCTAGGACTAGGGGGGCAAAAGGGGCCCCTGATTTCCCAGTGGGCAGAGTAGAAAGGAGGCCCCCAGCCCCACCTCCCCGGGGATGCCTGAGCGCCCCCAGGGCCCACGGCAGCGGGGTCCCCAGCGGCAGGAACACCGAGGGGCGGCGGGGATAAAGAAACGTGTTGCTTTGCCGAAATGTGCTCACTGTGTATTCTCTCTCCTCCCTCTCTCCCTGTCCGCTGCCCCTCCGTGTCCCTCGGCCCCCGTGTGTGTGTGTGTGTGTCTCTCTCCCAGGCCTCATGACCTGCCGAAGCCAGGCGGTGCAGGAGCATGCCAGCACCAACATGGGGCTGGAGGCCATTATTAGAAAAGCACTCATGGGTAAATATGATCAGTGGGAGGAGCCCCCGCTCGGCGCCAATGCTTTTAACGCTCTCAATGCCAGTGCCGGCCTGCCCGCTGCTATGCCCATAACCGCTGACGGACGGAGCGAACACGCACTCACCTCGCCAGGTCTGCAGGCCGCCTCCGCTCGGCCCGCCCCGCCCCGTCTGTC